AAAATTCATTAATTTTAGCAGTGAGTGCATGCACCCTGTTGCCTAAAACTGTAGAGTTGAAAAAAATTAAAAACTTTGTTCACAGTGCATAATGCAGGTACCTGATGATGACAAAACCTTGTCGAAACGTTGTACATTTGCTGTCATGTTAAACTTGTATTAAAGTTTTTCTTCATTACCCATTTAAGCCGTCTCCAGCCATTATTAATACACATTGTGTGCTTGCCAGAGATCTACACAGACTTTTCCAGTGAAGTTCTTGGGATGATACAACATGTGGCTCCTTGCTAGTACTGTACTGGAAATTTTATGCTCAGATCACCAGTTCTTAGGAGTAAACTTTTTTTTTATTCTTTTTTTTTACGTGTGTGTTGGAGCACTGGTTATTTCTCAAGTTCATGCCAAGAGAAAAACATATCTTCCAAAAGTGAAACAACCTACAATTTATTTTTGAAAGGTTGATTTGGGGTGTGGCTTTGTTCTCGGCACAACAGAACCATGTACAATATAGTATACAGCTAACCCTGTAACACATTTCATGTACAAGTTGAAGTTAGTACATCGATGCTCTGTGAACAATAAACATTTGCACCACTTGCACACTGGGCTTATGCATTACGGTATATACACTGACATTATTCAGCATACACCATGTGTATGTAGCATACATTATATTACATGGAGGCCTTAGAATCATGCTGTCACTTTATTTGCCCTTTGGTTGGTTAGAAAGTGTTTTAGTTCAAAATGTGTAGAGTGATAGCAAAAGTCCTCAAACTTCTGGCTGAATTGAATGATGAATTTAGGCAATGAACCTCAACATTTTGTTTGTCTCTCAAAATGGTCACTGGAAGTTTTATGCTCATGTACTAGCCACAAGGTCAGTCCCCATTTTTATTTTTCACTCATTCAAGTAATAAATGGAAAAGAGATCATGATTTTTTTTGTATGCCACATTTATTGATAACTTCAACCATTTCAAATTTAATGAAGCTTCAAAGTACATTCTCTGTAGTAATTATTATTTTTAAGGCTAAACTATCAACAATACTACACAGTGACATCATCAACTTTATTGTACATAATTGTAATCGGGATGGCTGTGTGCTATGATAGTCGGCGGTCAGTGTTTTTCGATTGTGACATAATCTGTAGAACAGTACTCTGGAGTAAGTTCACTCATATTATGTGACAGGGCTGCTCCCCTGTGAATCTTCCATTGCAGGAGTAGGACGTAGTATTCCTCCTCCTTGTTTATGCACCATTTTTGTTCGAAGAACATTGTTGCTTCCATGGGCATAATACATACACCATTACTGCTTGCAAAACTGACCCCTTTGCTGAAATTAAAGTGTTTTGAAGAATTCCATATTTTTGAGTTTTTCTGTCCAGTTTTTATAAGTTGTCTTTGTTCTGGACTCTTAACTGCTTGGCTACATCTTTATTGTTGTATAGATTATTATTTTCTTGTCCTGTAATTCATAGTTTTATAACTGTTTTGTTACTTTACTTTGACCAGTTTCACCTTCTTTTCAATATGGGTGTTCTGGCACTTGTATTTTAAAGGTAATACTATTTGATTAAAATTTTAAAATTAATCTTAATTTCAGACAGGTACTTAACCCTGAAATACCTTATCACCAAACTGCAACTTTTAATAAAATCTAAAGTGTAGCAGGAAAACAGAAAAGGTGGGAGAGTGGAGCATTATGGGTAAGTAAAAAATGCTCTGCAGTGCCCAAAAGACATTTGGAAATTTTGAGTCACATGCGTTGTTGACAGCATGAGGGCAAACTCTACGAGGAAAGTCTTTCAGTATTTCAGAGGTAAGTATTTTTTGAAATGAATTTTAATTATAAAAATATGAATATTAATATAAAATTTTTATTTACCAGAAACTGCTCAAATCACATTCCTCTTGTGATAGGAAGTGGCTGTTTGTGTAACTGAATTTAACCAAAATGCTTAAATTAAAAAAAGAGGCATAAATCACTGCTTTTTGACAGAGTGGATTTTTCTGAAAATTAATTATTATTTTTTGTACACTGAGGAAAAACAACTAGTGGGTACACTGTACTTGCAGATGGTGAGTGTGAAGGGCACACTCAAGTTGATTTCAATTCTTATATTTATATCTTACAACAATTATTGTTCTCAATAGAAGTCAAAGAAAACTTTCTGAAGCTAAGAAAAAACTGTTGGAAAGCCAAAAAGAGGATGCAATGAATCTAGAAGAACTGAAAAAAGTGGTATCTGATCTTGAAGAAATGGACAAAAAAATTAAAAAGGAAGGAGAAGAACTTTCCAAAAAAGAGAGGGTAAGACACAAGGCAGTTTTTCATAAGTTTTTTATAAACTATTCTGTTTGTGGTAGGTTTGATCCTGAAAATTAAGAATGTTTGAGGTTTAAAAAAAATGCAGTAAATATGAAAATTACTTTTTCAGGAATACACTAAAACTATGGACACATTGGTTTCCACATTATTTTATTAGAATAATAATTGCAAAGCTTCGATATGTTTTAAACCAAGTAAAATTTTGTTAAGTAGGTTCCTAAAAGTTAGTGCATCAGTTTCAGTTACATCACTTATGTGACAGTATGTTCATTGGAGTGAGTTTATAAGATAAAGTAACTGTAGAAGCTATTTAAAAAAGTATGAAGTATAAAAAATTGGGTTAATTACAGAATTCAACCAGGCAGCTACAGCTGTGTTTGATTATTAAGTGATTTAACATGTTAATCTAGTGATTGGTTACAGTAAGTAACTTAAGCATAAATAATACTTCTTAAACAGTAAGAAATATTCTCATAGTGTCTCAGGCTTCTGCTTCCTAATTACATTCTTTCTAAAAAAATAAAAAAAAAAAAATGGTGTCTTGGCATATAGTTAAGTTTATACAATATTTTTGAACAAAAGTAATTAGAATTTTGTTTTTTTACACACTATTATATCAAAGTAATTTTCAATAAAACTGATAATGACAGTGAGCACCACTGACTTTCTTGTCATATAAATGCCACAGATTGGAGACAATGGGTATATATATTTCCAAAGCAACATAAAAATTGTACAATGATGTTACTTAAAACTACATTTATATATTTCAGTCAGAGTCAACCAAAACTTTGAATAATCCAATTAAATGTAAGTATACTTATTGTGATCCAGATGACAAACTACAAAAATATTTAAGTGATTTTCCTATTTTAAATACTTATAAATATTGGACAAAGCAAAGTGACTTGTAACCGTATCACAAAATATAAGTGTAAGCAGTCATGGTAATCATGGCTGATTAATCTAATAGTGAAAGACAAGCCAGTAGAATAAAAAACTCAAGTTAAGTGTTCAGAATTTTTTGTTTTAATTTTATGGTTTTAAAAAGAATTTCAGTTGAAAGTATGTCATGTTACAAAAGGAAGCTTTCAACATAAACGTAGTAATGTCTTCATTTTACAGAGATACAAGTTTGGATATTAACTCTATGGCTGTCACTGATCAACATACAATAATCTATACACACATCTGTCACTTCAACCAGAACAACTTAATCAACCAATGAAATTCTTACCCAACTAGCCACTTACACCCCACATCAACCCTTTTTGAATTCTCCCATTACAACTTATAAACAAAGTGCAACAAGTTCTTTTTCTGATCTGAAGACTTCTGAAACATTGTTTCATTTTACTTCCTTTGTAGAAACCTTCCGGTAAATTTCTATTTGTGTAAAGAAGTTGGGTATTTTCACCATTGTTTTAGGATGCCTAGTGAACTGTTGCAAGTCGTATGATGTTGAAATGAGCATGGTGCTAAATTACCATTTCATTAAGGCAGTTTTATAAAGTTCATTTATTCATACTAGGTAAAATTTAGCATAATAAAACTGGAGTAATTTTTAATCTAATTATTTAAAAATTTTTCTTATTACTATTTAGTAGTAGTTTTTGCATTGATAGGAGCATTTTTCAGAGAGAATATTGTTCTCATGATGTAGTTATAAATCTTGTACAGAATTTTAAAAGTAATATAATCTTTTGTTTTCTATTCCAATTGCAAGATTATACTCCACAGCTTCAGAGCATTGTTCTTTGAGCTTATTTATAACCTATAATTAAATGGCAGTAATCTAAATTCCATTGTGTTGAAACTTCTAGATGTCATCTTGACAAAATACTGTAGTTGGAGAGCTACAAATAATGTTTTAGTCTTAAGAAACTATTGTATTTAACTATAAATCTTATTTTAAGAGCTATTATATTTGAAATAATGCTTTTTTTTTTTGCAGCTCATGCCTTGGAATGTTGATACCATTAGCAAGGATGGGTTTACTAAAACTGTAAGTAATGTATTTGTGCAAGACTTGTTACTTAACAATAAGTTTTGCATATGCTTTTTCTCTCGCATATAAAAAGGAAATGGAATGTCCTAATTGTTTGAATTTGTATAAACATTTGGCTAGATAGTTTTGATGTGTGATTATATAATATAATATAGAATTTAATATAATGTTGTCTAAGGTCGAGGTAATTGAGTGTTTTGAGAAGTTTTCTGTCTTAAGAAAGGAGGGGGAGCAGAAAGCTAAAAAATAAATAAAAGTAATGTCAAAGAACTTGCATGGAGGAATTATTCTGTATTATATCGTTTTAAATGTTTTGACTGTTGGCTAACATTACAATATAGTGAAGTAATTTTTATAGATTTAAATGAAACAGTAATCCTTCTAAGTTTTGCTAGATGTATGCCTTTGAAGATAGACGTTAGTTATATTTAGAACTATTTTCCTTAAGTGAATATAGAAAATATGCTTTTTTTTTAAACCACAGCATTGTGGCTCATAGAATGGGTCTGAGTTTTTTTCAAGTACAAATTTTTAGCTCAAAGCTCCATCTCTTGATCGATTTGAGATCTAATTACAGCTGCAGC